CTTTTTTAGGATCTGGTGTTTTAGTCAAGACCACCAAGTGGTCGAGACCAAGTCAAGACCAAGACTTTAGGGTCTGAGACCAAGACAAGACCAAGATCAACCGATTCGTTCAAAGCAGCTCATTTATTCAATAATGAATCACCACTGTGTGTTGCTCGGAAACATAACAGTTGCTATGGATTGCGGGACTTTGTTGGTGACTATTTTTGTTGCCGAAAACGCACTTTCAAAAAAAATTTGAAATAATATGAAAAACTAGATCTCATACAAATATTTTTTTGCAATCACAAGTTGAATTTTTTTGGGCATTTGTATTCATTTTGGTGATTTATTTTTTTAGACAATTCCATATTGAATTTTGAATGGGCACAGCAGTATCAAAATAAATCAAATTAGAAATAAGTTATTGATTACACTTAAAGCAGGAAGTTTTACATCATCACATTAATTATGTTAACAAATAAATCAGGCAATTTAGTGATAGCCCTATCCCCGCAGTTGTGGTCTTGACTGGTCTTGAAATAAAATCCCGAGTCCTTTTAGTCTGAGACCAAGACAAGCCCAAGTGCAAATGAGGTTGAGACCGAAACAAGACCAAGACCGGTCTCGGGTACTACAACACTAGGATCTTCACTTTAATTTTAAGGCGAAACACCCACTTTCTTTTCACCAGGGACAGGGTTTTTCTACTGTTTTCCCACATTAGCGGCATTTCTTCTCTTCATTTTCATTGCTCTAATAGTTCAATCTGCTCTTGTTCTTCCAAGTCGTGCTCTTCTGCGACAGGAAGTGGCATGGGCTGCTCTATTTGTCTTGTTTTCTCTGCACTATGGGAGAAAGCGACTCTCAATGGCCGGTTGCCGATGATATAGCCATTCATTACAGATGTGGCTATAACAGCATCATCGAGCGATGAGTATGTCACAAAACCATAACCCATGCTGCGTCTTTTCTTCGTGATCACCGTTGCACTGGTGACTTCTCCAAAAGCAGAGAACAGAGAGCCCAGCTCCTCACTGCCCAAGCTGTACGGCATGTTTTGGACATAAAGACTGAAGTCTTTCTTTTGAGGAGGTTTGGAGCTGCTCTTTTGCTCTGCCTGGTGTTCCTTGTGTTATGTCTTTATATGTTTTTGCAGGTGAATCACGAGATGACACAGACCCCACGAGGCTCAGACATCTTTTTACTTCAAGCAACTGCTGATGACGTCACACAGGTACGGGTAGCACACTCATACAAAATACATGACACCTTGTATGTCTTAAAATGGCATACGGACACTAGATAGCCATTGAGCAGCGTGCCATCCAGTTTCTTAATAACTAATTCAGCGGCCTTGAGTGTGGCGTAATAGATGAAACCATAGCCTTTCGGTTCACTGTTACTGTCACACACCATAAAGCAAGGTCGTTGATGTCCCTTGCCAGGCCCAATAATTATGTTACCGATTCCACTTTTTCTCAGAGTGGAGTCAGTTTCGGCCCACATGATACAGAATGGTTTGCCCATGAGCTCAATCAGAGCATTCAGGGCTTTTCGCGCATGTCGATGGTGTGTAAAATTAACATAACCAAACCCACGAGAGAGGTTGGTTTTGCTGCCTCTGCACCAGGGGTGCCGCTATGGTTTCCGGGCCCCCTGAACATCATTGACCAGGGCCAACCAAACTGCAAATTGGGGGCTCCCCCTAGGTAAAAAACCGGGTCCCGGGCCCCCTCCAACACTTGTTCAGTTACATGTGTGTGCAAATCACCCACAAACAAATATCCACAGGACGCCATCATTTTGAATGTTTTAAAAGGAGACTTAAGGGGGTCATATGATGCGATTTCAAGTTTTCCTTTCTCTTTGGAGTGTTACAAGCTGATTGTGCATAGACCCCTTTAAGTCAAAAAGTGCTTTGTACAAAGCGAATCACTGTGTAGAACTCACTGTCATTGTGTGGAACTCACAATGTTGAGAACAAATCGTAAATGCTGCTTATAAATCGCTCTGTCGCAATTGCTGTATCTACAGATCCGAGGTCAAAAGTAGTTCATACACTGACAGCATTTTTTTATTAGGCTCTGAACGTTCTAAAATTCCGATGACCTCACACTATTATGACATCCTCAGTGACTCCAGGGCAGAGCAGAACAGCAGATTATTCAAATTTAAAACTTTAAAAATATACATTACCTGTTGTTGTTGCAGCAGCAGCACACAAATAAGGGCTGATACACAGCATTTATTTTACACTTTTATAGTCTTCCTGTTTATTTTATATAGCCTATGGGCTGGGAAAATAATAATATTCTGTTTGATTGCATTAAGTCAATAATTAGTTCGTTAACAATTGAAGTATCCGCCCATTTAAAACCAAAGCTTCGTGATGCTTTATTAATCAGATTTTGTTTTGAATTAGAATTAATCTAGTTTATCTGGTAATTTGCGCCATAAAAATGCTACAGATTGATCTGCTGATTTTTGTGGAGTGGCCTAATGGTTAAAGATGATCTAATACACAATACATGAATTAAAAAAAGAATAATAAAAAAAACATGACCCAGAAAGTGACAAGTTTCCTTGGTCTGTGGCCGTTCTGGACCGTTCCTGACCCCGTTTTAACAGAGCTGGTTGAATGAGTCTTGTGGTAAATCGTTGTTTTCAGTATATATGCCTACAAGAGGCAGTGCTGCGCAGTGTTTCCACAACCTGCAAACTGGGAATGAACAAATCCTGATAATAACTATTACTTCAGTATTTGTTTGTAAGCATAAATGTGACCCTGGACCACAAAATCAGTCATAAGGGTCTTTTTTTTTTTTTTTATTGAACTTTATACATCATGTGAAAGCTGAATAAATAGTTTGTTTGTTAGGGTAGGACAATATTTGGCTGAGATACAACTATTTGAAAATCTGGAATCTGAGGGTGCAAAAAAATCAAAATATTGAGGAAAGCGCCTTTAAAGTTGTCCAACTGAAGTTCTTAGCAATACTGTGTAGAACTCACTGTCATTGTGTGGAACTCACAATGTTGAGAACAAATCGTAAATGCTGCTTATAAATCGCTCTGTCGCAATTGCTGTATCTACAGATCCGAGGTCAAAAGTAGTTCATACACTGACAGCATTTTTTTATTAGGCTCTGAACGTTCTAAAATTCCGATGACCTCACACTATTATGACATCCTCAGTGACTCCAGGGCAGAGCAGAACAGCAGATTATTCAAATTTAAAACTTGAAAAATATACATTACCTGTTGTTGTTGCAGCAGCAGCACACAAATAAGGGCTGATACACAGCATTTATTTTACACTTTTATAGTCTTCCTGTTTATTTTATATAGCCTATGGGCTGGGAAAATAATAATATTCTGTTTGATTGCATTAAGTCAATAATTAGTTCGTTAACAATTGAAGTATCCGCCCATTTAAAACCAAAGCTTCGTGATGCTTTATTAATCAGATTTTGTTTTGAATTAGAATTAATCTAGTTTATCTGGTAATTTGCGCCATAAAAATGCTACAGATTGATCTGCTGATTTTTGTGGAGTGGCCTAATGGTTAAAGATGATCTAATACACAATACATGAATTAAAAAAAGAATAATAAAAAAAACATGACCCAGAAAGTGACAAGTTTCCTTGGTCTGTGGCCGTTCTGGACCGTTCCTGACCCCGTTTTAACAGAGCTGGTTGAATGAGTCTTGTGGTAAATCGTTGTTTTCAGTATATATGCCTACAAGAGGCAGTGCTGCGCAGTGTTTCCACAACCTGCAAACTGGGAATGAACAAATCCTGATAATAACTATTACTTCAGTATTTGTTTGTAAGCATAAATGTGACCCTGGACCACAAAATCAGTCATAAGGGTCTTTTTTTTTTTTTTTATTGAACTTTATACATCATGTGAAAGCTGAATAAATAGTTTGTTTGTTAGGGTAGGACAATATTTGGCTGAGATACAACTATTTGAAAATCTGGAATCTGAGGGTGCAAAAAAATCAAAATATTGAGGAAAGCGCCTTTAAAGTTGTCCAACTGAAGTTCTTAGCAATGCATATTGCTAATCAAAAATTAAGTTTTGGTATATTTACGAAAGGAAATGTACAAAATATCTTCATGGAACATGATCTTTACTTAATATCCTAATGATTTTTGGCATAAAAGAAAAATGTATAATTTTGACCCATACAATGTATTGTTGGCTACTGCTACAAATATACCCGTGCTACTGATGACTGGTTTTGTGCTCCAGGGTCACATATTTATATGAAAATGAGCCAAGGTGAACATTTCACCCTAGCCTCTAATTTCTCCCTTTTCACTTCCTACGGAAAGGAAAAACAGGCAAACGCTATGAAAGATTCTCCCTGTGAGGTGATTGCTTCTTAAAAGTGAAGACCCAGAAAATGTCCGGTGTTGTTAATTGTGTGGATATTTCAGCAAACAATTTGCTTCATACATTCAGTTTAACAGCATTCAAGAGGCTAAACTTTATCATGAAAATGAATTGTGCATGTGCATTTTACATTGTCCTTAGTGGCCATATATGAATATATTGTTAGATCAAAATGAATGCTAGGAATAATTCAGTAGTCGCGGGATATTAGCAGGGACATGTCAATAGTGTCTTGGGACAGGTGTGGTGACTAAAGTAATATCATCGTCTTTACTGCCTCTATTAGCGCTTTACTGTCCACTAATTACTGCCTGCCACACATAGTTTACATTCACTTATCAAAAGTGTTGCATAAATCAATCAATCAATAAGGACATCACCATGTACTGATTCATTACAATGGAAATTAATGGGGCCAAACATCCAGTTTCAGAATAGCCACAAGATGTAAACTATGTGTGATAACGATTTTAATATGGAATAAACACTTGGATTACTTCTTTGTATTCAGTTTTACAACTTTGTTGTCATGACAAGCAATAATCTGTTATTTAACTTATGTATTACATGAAAATATATGATGATCAAATGATACAATTCAAATGGAATTCATTTAATTTATTTTCAATTAAAAAAAAACAAACAGGCAACAACAAAAAGCAGTGTTTTCACAGCTATTAAGAAATGAATAAAGTCAAACCATTCCATTGTGAACATTCAAAGGCAATGAAACGTATATATTTACAAAAATATACATTTTCCCACCCATTTCTTAAATTATGCCCATAAACAATATTCTTATGTTTTCCACTATATGGTTTGACACTTTGGGAGAAGTTTACAGTGTTTCCATGTTACACATTAAGACTTGATCCCAAGGTTGCATTATGATGCAATAAGAAGTGCTGTTGTTTTATAGTCATTCCTCAGACTGCATGCCCATCTGTTTCAGCATCTTCTGCTCCCTTCGGTTTCTCATGCGCTCCTTGAAATCCTCCAGCTCTTGCCTCTGTTTCAGCATGAGAAATGGCATATGTAATACAGAACGTGTCATTGCATCTCACTTGTGTAAGCTATACATATGTGTATCCTGTGGGATGCTGCTGCTGAATAGTAAATTATCTAGCTAAATATCTCTTTAACCTAACCTAACCACTGCAACCACCCAAGTAAAAGCTGATTGATTACAAAGTGTACACAATACTTACATGCATTTTCTCATCAGGTGGGAAGATTTCCCTCTGAAAAAATGTGATGATATAAGATGATCATACAACAGCAACTGCATACAGAATTGCTAAATACATAATGCTATAATACTAATATTGACTTTTATTATTAGGTCAACAATGAACCTTTCGCTTCACGATGTATTCCTCAAAATACTCCGCTTGGTTTGATATCCAAAACATCGCCACTGGAAACGACAGATACACCATCATCTGTTTAAAACAGTAAACATCACAAATCTGTAGATCTTCGCATTTGATCGGTTATTAACATAAGTGCAGCAGTGAGCAAAGCATTTAGTGTTTAGCAAAGTGGGACGTTCCCAGCTTCTGTACGTCTTTTTATTTTCCCAAAGATGGTTTAGTCTATTCATATATAGTTTATTTAGACAGACCCACCGGCTTACAAGTGTAAATGTCATCAAACTCACCCTGAAAACCTCTATTTTAACCCCCATGTCCTACAGCTTGACAGTCACGCATTCAGGCACTTCCTGTTTTGTAAGATGTCAAAATAAAGGTCGCGCTGAGCACGCCACGCTCATTCACAGCCGTATTTTCACGCACAATGAAAATACTTCTCTGTACACGTGTGTGTGTGTGTGTGTGTTTTAAAGACATGCATGTAAATTTACTATAAATGTCGAGATGTGTAATTTAGACTTCTTTCTTGTAACAAACCATCTTCCAGTAGACTCCTTCCTCGTACACTGCAGGCTTATGAAAGCGCGTGCAATGGTTGACCGGATGCAGACCAGTGTTGCCAACGTAGCAATTTTGTTGCTAAATTTAGCAACTTTTCACACCACCCCAGCAACTTTTTCTTCCAAAAGCACCTAGCAACAAATGTAGCTATTTTTAAAATGTATTTGGCAATTTTTTAAAGCAACTTTTGACAAGTGACTCGAACGATAAAAAGGCACACATTTCCCATCTAAATTACACAAAATGAGGAAACGAAAGGTGCCTAGCAGTACGCACATCACGTGAATTAAGTTAGCTGCTATTTGCAATTGTTCAATTTAATGAATAATTGTTATTGAATAATTGTTCATTTATGATGCACCTTAGCTTGTACCTGCGATTGTTGATCAGTTAGTCAGTGCACTGTAAGAAAAATATTGAGAAAAATGGAAAAGGTACTAGTAATTTTTCAGGACATTATGTGTTATCCATTATCTGTCGTAACCCTGCAACCCGAAAACACAAAATACAATGGGGTGTATGCAGGTAAAAACCCTTGAAAAATCGATAGGGAAAATTTATTCATATTAACAGTAGATTGTGCCCTATTTTTACAGACTTTTCTTAGAGTGTAGCATACTAACTAACTACTAATACACTGCTTAAAACTATAATTGTTCAGATTGTGTAGTTTTATTTGTTTATTAGCTAATAAAAAAATAAATAATTGTAATGGTTTAAAAAATGTGTAAGTGTTCAATAACTCAATGTTGTATTTAAAAATACAGTTATTTATATTTTGAAATTATATAATGTATTTATATTATTTTAGGAAAAAATCTAAATAACATATCAAATGTATTTTTTGCTGAGATTTGATGTAGTGACATTTTTGCGTCACAACGTCATTTAGTAACAAATCGACCTTCCTTTAGCAACTTCCCCTGAAAATTAGTTGGCAACACTGATGCAGACACAGCAAGCAACATGATGCAAGCATGCAGTAACTTTACATCAGATACACTGTACGGCTGTTGCTCCTTCCATCTGTATATATGTTTTTGCTTGAAACGTGAAATTTAAAATAAAGGGATTTACATAAAAATGAAATAGTCATTTCCTCACCCTCATGTTCAATTTTCCCATTAAGTACACAATGTGATACTAGGCAGAATTACTCATGTTTCAGTCATCGTTTCCTTTACTTTTATAGAAAAAGACGCATTGGAAGTGAATATTGGCTGAGGATGCGAGTCCAGAATATTCTGCTATATTCTCTTTTTGAGCAAGGTACAGGTGAGAAAATGATTTTCATTTTTGGGTGAATCTCACAGAAAGTGTCAAGAAATGTCCTGGACACATTTCACCCCAAAATCAAAAGGGAAAAATACATTACATTTGCTGTACTGAAATCTTAATTTGGCTTTATTTTCTACACAAAAATAATCTGTTTTTGAAGTGAAAAATGACCCTATATGTGACTGGACCACAAAACCAGTCATAAAGGTCACATATGTACTTGACATTTCATCATTTTCCCTGGAGTTTTCTAAGCCGTCAAACAGTAGGACAGCCCTTTTAACTACACAAGTTGCTTATGAAGTCAACAGTTTCTTTGCACCATTTCAACCTCAACCTATTGGAGGAGTGAAAACTGATATGCAGCAACACAATGGGCACCATACTGTAGCAGGTGGACTGTGTGTAGAGCTGATGAATTATAAAAGAGACGACAGGCTCATTTTTTTGTTTCCTTTTAATTTTCTATAAAAGAGATGAGTTTATTTCATGATCAGAACAGACTGAACCACTGACCTCGATAGCCCACGCACATACCAAACAGTAATCGAGGAAAATGTTGAACAAACCCAAAATAAAAAAAAAAAAGAAAATAACAAAATACCTGAATAAAGCAAACTCTCTGCTGAGCTGCAGGTCAGCACATTCTCCGGAAAATCCGAATTTATGGCACACAATGTTACCATGGAAAAGAAAATACATGTAAAGGCTTGAAGGAATGAAGTGTTACTCTTCTTTGAACTTTTACAGACCAAATTAACAAAAGAAAAAATAGATATTTATATAAGTGGACTTCATGAGGAAGAACAAGAACCAAAAAAAGTTAGCAAAGCATCGTTAAAATGAAGTGTTGTTGCGAGTGAAACCTCCGGGTAAGAACACCCTCTCCAGCCACATACCGACAACCGTACTGACATGACGTACACATCCAAACATCCAGACACACACACACACACGTTGATGAAGATGATGATTGGACATGTCCTCTTAGCAGTTTCGAAAAAAAAGAAAAACTAGTTGTTCGGTGTATAATTAAGAAGTCCAGCTAAAACTAGATTTAAACCTGAATATTGTAAATGGGTAAAATATAAAATGTTTACTTTCCTTTTTTTGTCTCTTAAACACAAGCTCTCGCCCCTAAACCCCCAATTTTCCCCTCCCTGTCCAACCGTGCCCCTCCCTCGCCCTCCCAGAACATAATATATGCCAACTAGAATCGCAATACAATACAGGCACTGGAGAAAACACTATAAGAGAAAACTCAGAGGACCTGCCAAGGTCTCGAACTGTGCCCCCCGCCCCCCTTGCAGAGTCAAATAACAGAATTAGAACACATCCACTATAATCCAACAAGAACAATGATAAATCAGAACAGTTTGATTTTTTTTATTTTTTGTAGCTTTTTTTTCCTTTCGAAATTTTCGTCATTATATCTATCACAGCATACAGAGTTCTCTCTGCGCAAGTGTAATAAAATGATCTGTGAAAAGAAAAGAGGAGTCATGCAGAAACCAGCTGAGAGCTCCGTCGCGTTTACCTGGTGTTCGCATGACGCTCTCGAACGCGTGTACCAGCTGCGTGTTTTCCTTCTATATGTATAATACACTTAAAATAGTTCTCGTATTCTTTAAATTATATTCAAACTAAAGGATGCTCAGAAACCGCCCTCGCAGGTCGACGCTCCGGGTTTACGTGAAAACGATGAGCAATGAAAGTATATCTTCATGATTCTGTCCTCAATTAACACTTGTCAGAATAATGCATATATTAGGGTTTATCTTCTACAAGGCTACCTAAACTTTTAATGACGAGTGGGGAGAACAAGAAAATATATTTATATATTTAGAAAGACATGTTAAGAGTGAAGCGTTTCGGGTCTCGGCTATCTCAGCGCAAAAGGATACAGGTGTTTGGCATAGACATCAGAGGGTAAGGGAGTTAAAAATATCTTAAAAAAGAAAAACAACAAAAAAGAAAGAAAGAAACAAAAATACAACCAACCAATCAACCAAAACAGTAATTAAGAAAATACCTTTTTACAGTAGATCCTACATAATGAAAAATCTGCACATGATAACAGTGTGAAACACACCATATGTTTAGTCATTTGTCAGCCCCTGGTGAATATTGTTTGTGTTGTCATGGTTACGAGTCAGAGGTGTAAGGCGAGCTGGACTTCCTCTCCCGAGGAAGATCATCTTAAGTGCCCCCGATCCCATCCTGCCGTTTGCCTCGCGAAAAAGGGGGGGAAAGGATAGAAACAAAACGAAACGATTGGAGGGAAACCAAATCAAACAGGAAACAAAGACGTTTTCTAATCCCCCACAGACATCTGGTGGTCGTCGGATGCCGTAGTACAGAGAATCAGTACATTTCATTGTTGTCGTTCAGATATTCCTCCGGCGATCACATTGTCCATTGCTCCCATATTCTGAATTAAGAGTCACACGAGTCCTCTCTTTCCCGCCATGGTCACAATGGCAAATCCAGGAGGAATGCCGGAGAGGCGGAGCCATCCCAGTGTGAGGGTCCCTCTTTCTGCCAAGGCAAAAGGAGAGCTACAGCCTCCCTCTCGGGGCCTCAGCTTATGCATCGCTAGTTCAGCCTCTTCAGTGTTTCTTGTGGTCAGATGGGGTCTTTTTCCCTTACTGCTTTTTGAGTTCATTCTGTCCATGCAGAGGAGAATCCATGAGCAGTTTCGCCATTTCTCGCTTCCTCTCGCGCTTCAGAACAAGTTCTCCTCAAAGATAGCCATCAAATCGCTTTGGAAATTCATGTCAATAGTAGCTGCCATCTGTAGAGGAGTAGAATACAAAAATTTATATTCACAAATATCCACATTTTTATGGAGAAGTGACTGAAGAAACTAGTGTAAACGCCTTTTGTATACTGATCAAAAGTTTGGGGTCAGATTTTTTTTTTAGAGAAACTAAGGTTTTTATTATGCAAGTATGCATTAAATTAATCAAAAGTGATAGTGAAGACATTTATAATGTTACAACAGATTTTTTTTTTTTACTTTCTATTCCAAGAAACTTATCAGTTTCCACAAAAATATTATTAAGCATCACAACTGTTTTCAACATGAATAAGAAATATTTCTTGAGCAAATCATCATACTAGACCGATTTCTGAAGGATCATGTGACACTGAAACCTGGAGTAATGCTGCAAAAAATTCAGCTTTACCATCGCAGAAATAAATGATATTTTAAAATATCTTAAAATTGAAAACCGTTATTTAAAATTGTAATAAAAGCTAGTGTGTGTACAAGTGAGGTGACTAGCTGTAACTCACCGCCTCTCTCCTCCTCCTCTCCTGTTCCCGGCGACGCGCAAGCTCCCTCTGCTGGTCAAGTGCACTCTGGGAAGCAGCGGGGGACTGCGGCGGGCCCTGGGAAGGCTGCGGGGCCGAGGGCGGTTGGGCCGGGTTCTGGGCTTGGGGCTGAGTTTGGTGCTGCTGCTGCGGTGGCTGGACCTGCTGTTGCTCCTGCCGCCTGCGGGGCTCCTCCTGAGGCCTTCGAGACGTCTCAATGGAGTCCTCCTCA